TTTTATTCACACAGTTAGCAAGAGGCAAGTCAGTCAGAGTTTAACATTCAAGCAAAAGAAACATTTCAAAAAGAGGAATAGACATTTGTTTTACCAATCTGAATTCTGTATGAATTCATACTCTTCCTCTCTCTGCAGCTGCCAAAAGGGAAAACAGCGTGTTTTAAAACCATATTTACTGCATGACATTTGACTCCTGCAACTATTGCTTTGACTCTCTGATGAGACTGTGGTATCTTCTATTTACTTCATCATTGTATACGATGTATAGCTAAAGCCAGTTTCATTTTATTTGTTGTTTACTGTTTTTACTCAAATATGGCACACCCTTACAACCAGGAATTATGATTAACAGAGAGATAAATACATACAAAACACGTTTTTTCCATAATGCCATGTCATTAAACATACCTAGAGTTTGGACTTCCACTAGGAGTTGGTTCATTGCATTTAAAGAGACACACACACCAAAACGGAGCGTTCTGAGAGAGTTGGTTTATACATGGTCACAAACCTCCTCTGGTGCTTGATTCATGTTATATTTTGACCAAAGCACAGCACAGATGTTTCATATAGACCACAGGGGACTGTTTGAAAAGGTGGAGAAGGAGGAGAATATGTCCTCTTTAAGTAAGAGTGTTCTTGTGTCAATAAAGCAACATTTGACATTAAATGTTTTGTTTTTTCTTGCCTTTTCTTTGCCTTTGTTAATTTAAATAAATAAAGCATTTGATAAAATTCTGATAAAATAAGATTCTCTGGTAAAGGTTTACTGTTACTACTGGATACTAAATAAGTAGCCAACATATGGTAGAAAGGTACATATACAGTATGTAGTCTACGTCAAATAGTTGTACGTAGGCCTATACAGTTTTACAATTAATTAAGTTAAATAGCTAAATGAAATGGATTTTTTTCAATTTTTAAGTTATTTTTAGAGCATGATTATTTTATTGATTCCTCCTGTTTTTGGGCACATCAGGGCAGGTTAAAGTGATTGTGGACAGGTGTGTGAAAGAGGACACACAGGTTAAATAAAATAATGAACTTAATAGGAAAACAGCGGTCAGGTTTGTGTGATTGTGAACAAGATCAAGAAACGGTATAGGACATGTTATTTTGAATAGCCAGTTATGTCAAAGGGAGAGAGAAAAGCTGACGAAGGAGCTGAGGAAATGTGGGTTTGGAAGTCTTAAATATGAGTTGAATAATGAGGAAGGGTAATATAAAGCTTTGAATATATATAAAGAAACTGGACTTGTTAAGAGAATTTAATTTATTTATTCTAAGTATTTTAGATTTTTTTTTTTTATATATAATAGTAGGCTAATAGGTATTCTGGCACAAACTCTAGCATAGTAGGTGACGGTAATGCACCTTAAAAGCTAGTTGCCATCCGCCATTAAACAAAAAGATGAAGATGAAGTGCATGAAAGAGGGAAAACAGGAAGAAAAATGGAAAGGGACGAAGTGGGAAGAACGGGAGAGTGGCGTTTGTAGGCTACTGAAGACAGGCTACCTGCAGGGCAGAGTGAAACAAGCGGGACAGCGCAGGTGCCAACCGGACGCAGGGACGACCGGAACGAGAGGCAGACGACTTTGATTCAATGCTGACACTAAGCTAAGTAAAGGAAACTGTTCTGTAGTGTGTTTGTATGGAACTCAAGCCTTGAAGCCTACAGACCATTTTCTCTACACTTAATGCTGCAGTTATGCATATTATCAACTCCTTTCTATCACCTGGTGTATTTCCCCACTGCATTCAAGCAACCTCTGGTCAAAACACCCACACTCAACCCAGTATGTGTGGGAATCACCAGAGGCCCCACGATACCATACTTTCACCATACTCGAGTCACAATTCAATATTATTGCGATTTTAAAAAGTTTGCGATATTGTTATTTAACTTTTTTAACTGCATATTATGTCCACAAAATTAAACGAAAGTTGACTGTTTTGTCGAATAAGAAAAAATTCTCAGTCTATTCATCTCACTTCAGTCTATTTATTTCTACACAATGAGAGTGGAGCCCACAGACTGACCCACACTGTGATAGAAGTCAAACCCTGTAAGAGGCTGCATGCACCTCTCACTCTGAACTGTTATATCAGTCTAATCGAGCTGAACTGAACACAAACATGTATGGATGACTGTACAATTGCAGTAATTTTTAACAATGCAACTTTTTCTAAATGAATTTGTGCAATCCCTTCAGCAATTAAAAATTTTAAAAGCATATTTGCTATTAATATAATAAAAATATTGACACTATAATATAGTGCCATGATGACACTATATAATATTGGGCGGCTGTGGCTCAGTTGGTAGAGTCGTCGTCGTCTCTCAACCAAAAGTCGAAGGTTCAATCCCCCAGCTCCTGCCGCAACATGTCCGCTTGGGCGAGACACTCAACCCCGAATTGCTCCCGCTGCTATGCCAGCGGCGTATGAATACGTATGGGATTAGTTAAATATTACGATTTTCCCCCTCACCTCTACAACCCAGCTCACCCAGGCTGAAAACAACAGACTGGTTTCTCTTCTGCCCCAGTAGTCAGGCTTTAAGCTGGGTCAATCTGAGACTGCAGGGGTTGCTGTTTGGATGTAACACATGTTCCATGTTGACCATGTATTTGTAAATGTTACACACACTGAATTATGACAATGTGGGTTACATAAGAAAGGTGTTTTTATTTACAGCATTTGTAACTGTAAACACAACAGAAAGACAGTCTTGTATGAGAATCGGCATATAGTTCTGCTTTGACTGTCTGATGCGATACAACTGCGCTTACTTCCTGCAATACACAGGGAACAGGCCCAGTTCTTGACATATCAATGCTGCTACTGACACCTACTGGCCACAATGAATATTGCCCTGCAGGTACTTACAGCCTAAGCAGGTGAATCCCTCCTATTTTAAGTCACACAAATCATCTAAATGACATTTAACCAGAAAAATTATAGTGTGTGTGTGTGTGTGGGGGGGGGGTTACCAATGTAATAATATAACTGATAACCAATAATCGCAGGCATAGTCTTAGCTACTAAAATACCCAGGGTGCCACATAAACTGCTGGATGCTTTTGTAACATGCTGATATTGACAGCATATGAATTTCCCCCAAACACTCGTTTTTCCATTGATCTGGTTTTGAGTTATCCATTATTCTCCTGCCTGTTTATTTTGGAGTCCGTGGCTGAATCTCGATGTCCTCCCTAAACCCTGACACCTGAGACCTGAGACCTGAGACCTGAGCCCAGAGACCTGAGACCTGAGCCCAGAGACCTGAGACCTGAGCCTGAGCCCTGAGACCTGAGCCCAGAGACCTGAGCCCAGAGACCTGAGACCTGAGACCTGAGACCTGAGCCCTGAGCCCAGAGACCTGAGCCCAGAGACCTGAGACCTGAGCCCTGAGCCCTGAGCCCTGAGCCCAGAGACCTGAGCCCTGAGCCCTGAGCCCAGAGACCTGAGCCCAGAGCCCAGAGACCTGAGCCCTGAGCCCTGAGACCTGAGACCTGAGCCCTGAGCCCTGAGACCTGAGCCCAGAGACCTGAGCCCAGAGACCTGAGACCTGAGCCCTGAGCCCTGAGCCCAGAGACCTGAGACCTGAGACCTGAGCCCAGAGACCTGAGACCTGAGACCTGAGCCCAGAGACCTGAGACCTGAGCCCTTACCGACCTAATTGACGTCATCTGGAAAGTGATTGAGTGCACGAGGTTGCAGGGCTTGAAATGGTTCAGTAGGAATGGGACATCACTTTGAGACTCTATGTAACCATGAGAGCATGATGTCATGTGGAATTAGATCTTTTTTCTTTTTTATTCACTCACTCACAGGCAGCCATTGCCCTTATAAAAAGTTCTTACTATAGGCTTTGTGTATTTCTCCGTTGTGGGATAAATAAAGCTTTATCTTATGGATTAATGTGCTCTCTGTCTCTCTTATTTCTTTTAACAGACTGGAAGTAGATTTCTAAAGTACCTGTAGTTTCCAAATACACTTTCTTGGTAGACTGTAAATACAGCGTTGTTTCACCTTTCTGCTTATCTATCGTTTCGCCCTTGTTTTCCCGTTTTATGGCGTTTGTTTACCTCCTCTGTGTCCCGCCCCTCTCTTGCAGCCTGTAGACAGACAGACCCTTCTCCAATGTGAGGAGCATAAGGATGGAGGATGTGCACATGGGAGTAAAGCAGTGACGTGCGGTGAGGCCTCACCTCATGCTTTTTCAGTGCGGTTTTATGTCAAATTAGACTAAATATGTTATAAACACACGTGAAATACATTTCTTATTCTATGGAAAGTGATGACGTATAATAAAAGTGAATACAAACATTACATTGGTGACAAACAGTAAGAAAGCAAAAGGCATACGCTCGACTCAGTTTGTGAGGGATTGAACAATCTGACTCTATCTATTTTAATGCAGTTTGAATTGCCTCTGTATGAAATGTGCTGCACAAATAATTTTACCTTTCATTGCTTATTTATTAATAAATTAACTTTAGGATAGATAGATAGATACTTAATTTAACTATTTAAAAACGTAATTAATCCTGAGAGACATTGAAGAATATTTAACACCTGCAGCAGCTCTCACATCATGGTTTAACGACCATGAACTGATTTCACATTCTCTATCACAGTGGAACATTAAACATGCACAATTACCAATTTTAACAACCACATGACTTAACATTAACATTATTAACACACTTTTCTTAACTGGACACTAACCTTCCCATGAGCCTTTGCTCCACAAACTGTCAGATCTCAGAGCGACCGTCCATTTGGGGTCTCTACAGTATAAAACCTTTACACAGATTAAAATGACACCTGTCCAATATCAGACCTCTGTTACAGCTGCACAGCATCAAGGTACAGCAATGTCTGAATGGAGGTGGTGCACATTGATATAATATATATATAATAGCTGAAAATGATACAAGTCCTTACCTACGTGCATTTTTGTGTCAAATAAAATGTAAAATTCCAGTGGTGTAGTTACAGTGAAATGTCAGTTTTATTGTCACAATATTTATCAAAATAATAAATAAAAGGAGATGCCATTCATACCAGGAAGAATCATGTTTTCTTTCAATAGATGTGTGACTTTTTGCAATATAATTAATGTTCTTATTCATGATAGATTGTAAATAAGCTGTGCTTTTATGATCTTTATTATTATTATAACATGACATGAGTGATGTGAGCGCTGAAACTCACCTGACTGAACGCTCTTTTAGGAGTCTGTTTCTACACGTCGGACATTCTAAACGTTGTGATTTTGCTATTAAATTGGTGATACTGAGCAAGAGTAGTGTGTGGAATGTCTTTTCAACTTATTTTAATCTTACACACGACTTCAACCTGCAAAGCAGTTTGGTTTTCTGTATTTGACACAGGCCTCCGTTTTTTTAACAATAAATCAGTGATAAAAAGAGCAACACTTTTACCCTGCCAGTGATGGAAGAAGCATGTTTGTGCAGCCGCTGGTTTATGTGAACAGATCAAGACAGTCCTCCAAATCTGGTGCACTGCTAGACCCGTCACCATGGCAACAATCAGTCTGACAGTGCTGCTCTCTCTTCCGCCTCCGTTTATAAACAGTTGTTTGTTCTTCTCTTCCTTTTGTTTTTCTCCCCCCTCCTCCTCTGCCTCCACTGTGTGAAGATGATCTTGTAGTTCCTGTGAGATTTCAGTATCAGGAGTTTGTAGTTCTTTGATTTGATCTCTGGACAGGGCTGACTGGAGATTCTGATGAAACCTTGAGATCACAAAAAAAAAAAAGAAAAGTCAAAGCGGGCCTGCAGCTTGTTTGATTTGAATTGAACGAGTAGAATTGGTGAGAAATGTCTTCTTTTGTTTCATAATAACTTTTTAAATAATGACTGACAGAGACGAGGCCGGTTAGCAAACTGACCTTTGTATCCGTCTAAGATTCTCCTCCATCTTTTTGTTTGCAATATTTGTTATGAAATGGATGTAGTCGTGGTCAACCAGGAGCTTCCCTTTACTGCTGAGAGGAACCTCCAGACCGTGGGTGCTACGGACCGCCTAGAGGAGGTCGAGTACAGCAAGGATACATTCACACCGCTAAAATAGTGCAAACAAGCAACTCATGCAGCGACTGACTGCATCGACTGCTTAACGCTTTATTGACAATTTAATGAAATCAAACAGCGCTGGTAAAGAAATGGGAGTAAATCTGTTTTTGCCACAATCAAAGTAAAAATAAATTCAGTAACAAAGCATACCGTGAGGATCTTTCCCGTCTTGCTGACAGTAAGACCAGAGTTTCTGAAGCCTGAGTTAATGGCCACTGAGTGCTGGAAAAGATACAAGATGACAAGTTATTGACATTATTCATTAGTTGGTATATTTTAGTGAAAATGCTGACAGATTCTCTCATTAGAGACAGATTGAAACCTCTGTTAACAACTTCTCTAAACTGAACAACTGCTGTCTGCTACTCATGCATCCCTGGAGTCAACTTGTTTTTTACTGTTGGGCATATAGTGACAGCTCAGAGGAGCAATCTAAGTCCAGATATGTAGAAAAGATCCTTCATATTCCTGCTGAACATCAATCCACCTCATACTTGTTCAAAGGTCTGTTGAGCATCTTTGAGTTTTAAGTGTTATTTGTGTAGAGGTATGCTTTTAAATCATCAGTTTCTCAAAAACAGAAGCAGATGGCCAATGCCTACCATCTCTTAAAGGCTTATGTGATTTTTTGATCCAGCAGATGTCACCCTTGAGCATGAAACCAAAACAACTTGCGGCATTGTTGTGTTAGCATGCTAATGCTAGTGATCTTTATTATGCTGGTATCTTCACACTGCATGTAAATTACCTGAAATGAGCGTGATCTAGAAACACAGTTAAGCAGTGAGTACAGTATGTTATTCTTCTTTTCTCTAGTCCCTCAATTAAACAACTTTTATACACGAGGGGAGGAGTCAGCCGGCCGTCTTGGCGATGTAAACAAACTGAAGATAGGACTCTGAAAACTCTGAAAACATCACAGACAGTGGTACTCGGGTGTTACACCCATTGTAGACAGTCATGACTGCAGTCAATACCTTTTGCTTTGAATAACTTCAACCTTTAATTAAAATGTGACTGAAAGTTTAGAATAACCAAAAAGTGTTTTTTTTATGTTTGAGCATAAACATGTTACATTTAGTCTCAGTGTTGCCTCTGTGTATTCACACTGTTGCCGTCAGCTTATCAAATCTTTAATGTTAAGTTAATGATTCCCTACTGCAGCTTACTGAGCGCACAGCAGACAGGAGGAGTTCCTGTCATCACAAACAGGGAATTGGTTTGAGTTAAGTATCAATTTTGGATTATTCACAATTCAAGAATCAATATCCAGTCAAGTTGTAAGAGAAAGATTCAAACCCCTTCATCTACAGTAGAAATTAACGACAAAGGTTCAAATAACTGGTATATGGTCTTTAGCCTGCCTTCAATAGAAAAAAGCTGTATTTAGTTGTGTGTATTAAAGACACTCGACAAGAGGAAAACCAACTGAATCTGCAGAGAGGACTGATACCTTCTCCAACAAGCAGAGGGAACTGGCTGCATCAGCAATCACCACAATCCATGGAATCCTGTCGAACTAGTAGAGGAGTATAAGTACCTGGTACCATCTTCGACAGCCTGCTGAAATTCGCCTCCAACACCGAGGAGATTCTCAGGAAATGTCAGCAGCGAAAATACCTCCTAAGGAAGCTCAATTCCTTTGGAGTCAGTAAGAACATTCTTCTGACCTTCTACTACTCCTTCATTGAGAGCATTATTACTTTTTCTATAACCTGCTGTTCCACTCCACCACCCTCCAGAACAGAAACCGCCTGCAGAGCACGGACACAGTCTGCTCTAAGATCATTGGACTACCTGTAAGGACTTTGACATCGATTTATGAGCAACAGACAATCAGGCTAGCAGGTCGGATCATGCAGGACCCCTCACGCTCTCTTCCCAGCGTTTGAGTTGCTCCCCTCAGGACGCCGGCTTCGCTGTTCCTTTATATTGACATGCACCTTAACTGCCTCTGCTTTATCTGGTCCCATGCACTACATCACTTTATTCTATCCCTTTTATATCAGTATTCATACAGTTCTGCTAACTTTATTCCTGTTGTTTCTTATCCATCATTGCACTACGGTCACTTTATTTAACTAATTTTTACCTTTACAGTTATATTGTATATATTAGTTCTGTTGTTCCATTATTCACCATGCACCTTAATAACTTATCATTTAGTATTTGCCTACTTGCACATAGTTCTGTATACATATATTTATTCTCGTTACTGCACATAGTTCTGGTTACATCTGTTTACATCTGTTTACATCCGTTTACATCGTTTACATCTGTTAGTCCGATCACTGTCCACTTATATCTACTCTTTTATATTTTGTATTTTTAAGTCAAGTTTAAGCTTTAAGTTGTATTTAAATTGACACTTTCTATTTAGGTTAAAATGTTTCGTCTACCTGCACTGTTGTAATTTACTGCTCTGTGTGCCTTGAATTGCCCCCGGGGACAAATAAAGTTTTTTGAATTGAATTGAATTTGAATTGAATTGAAAGGCTCACTAGAAGGAAGGAATTGAACTCAAATCAAAGGGATGTGGGTGTGGGTGTAGAGAGACATTCTGTGTTTCCCTCTTCACTCTGATCTATCTAACTTCAACACATCATGTGTACAACATTATTCAGAGAGACGTTCACTTTCATTCTCACCACCAGCTGAGCATCCTCCAGCTGCCGACACTGAACATGGAGAACAAAGGGCTCAAACTTCAACACTGCGTCTGCACTGGACCTGGCCAGGCCGGAAATCTGAAAATTAAATACATCAATAATGTCACATTTTATTTCAAATGTATATTGTTAAATCACATGAATATAACAGAAGTGGTATCATATCTTACCAGGTCCTCAGACTTGCATTTCTGGTGTGAGACAAACAACCAAACACAATTCTGTTTGTGGACATCACTGCTCCCTGACACCTGGAGAGAACAAGACAACACAGAGTGGATTCAGATGGGTTCTTTTTTATATTTTTATTACCGGACAAATGCCAATCTGCCTGACTAATGTTGGAAGACGAAAAAAAAACATTAAAATCTTTTAATCATTTCACCTAATTATCATTTTTTCATGCCAAATGAAAAACTCCCACAGCATTTTGATGAGAAAAGCTCTCAGATACTTAAAATCTGAAAACAGAAAACTTCCCACCTCCTTGATTATCAAGCCTCTTAATCAGCCTTTGAGGACATGGCTGCAATGCACACTGTAACCAACCTCATAATAATTCAATTCAAATAAACTTTGATACAGTTTAATGAGACAGTCATATAGTGTGCCCATATTTTATGTTATAGTTGAACCATGAAGAGCCTGTTACTTGAACACTATAAGATTAATATATCATACGTCATTACATCCTGCTGCTTTAAATGAAATAGCCACAGTGGAAAATTGAGGACGCATCACGATTCTAATCAAATTGTTGACAGGATAATCCTAATCAAGTGGAATCATGACACCAGTGAAGACGCACAGCCCTGCTGAGCGTTTAACCAAATATATAACCCTATACAGGACGACTCAGAGTTATATATGTCTGTTGGGTATCGTGCACTTTGGTTCTTTCTGTTGAATTGTATTTAATTATTTTTTAGTATTTTACATGTCTTATTTCTTGCTGTTTTTATGTTCTTCTGTGTTTGCTTTAGTTTGTTCTTGTTTTTGCTGTTTGTCAAAGCACTTTGTAAACCTGTGTTTTTAAAAAGGTGCTATATAATAAAGTTTTTTTTTTAATTATATTATTATTATTATTCTTTATTCCATTTTTATAAAGACTAGAAATTAAACAATGACATGAATTCAGTCAAAATACAATCTACACATGTTACTCTTGTTGTCCTGATTACATATATCAATCTAAAGAAGGGTTAAAATGTTGACAGAACTGAAACCATAGAGTTCAAATCACACAGAATGTCCCTCCTGAAAAAACAGTTCAAGGTCTTCATCAGAGTATATAACAGGATATAGTATTTATGAGAATTTTTAAATTACTGTCTTGACTTTGAAAGG